TCACAGTACGAAGATTGTGTTTTATTACCTTTTAATAGACATAGATTTAATTGGTTAGATGAGAACATACAGAATATGTTCTAATTTCCTATTCCTTCCTCAGGGATCAGAATCTCCCATGATGATTGGCGAGTTAAGAAGTGACCTTGATGATGTTGACCCTTAGAAGACTGTGCCTAGCACCTGACAACACTGGGTGCTTGGCACCTCAAGAAACCAGAATCTCATCCTCAAAGCCCTTGGTGGAGCCTGGAGAGCTGGGAAAGTGTGACTCTGGAGGGCCATGTGCTCTGAAGGAAAGCTTTCTTTGGCCCCTAGAGGGTTGGGAGATGTTGGCAGACAAATTCCAGCAAGTGGATCCATGTCCCGCATGTGGGTTGACACTTGTGTGGAGACCAAGGAAACAGAGCTGCTGCCAAGCTCGTGTCCCATGAGCACACAAGAGAGGGGTAAGCGGTGGCTTTGTCTTCATTGCCACAAGAGAAACTCCTTTGTTTTTATATTTTATGGGAAAAAGGCGAGCTGCCTTTTGGTGTGTGGGGGAAAATTTTTAATGTTACAGTAATATTGAGTAGGAATATCCCATTTAAAATGATGTAAAGATATGTGGTAAAACTCCTTTTCACTGTAAAGTAGTGGCTGAAGAATTGCGTTTACATGGACCTTTGTATTTAATATGTCTCCCTCTCCATATAGCGTTGCCCATGGGTCTGGTTGAGAGCTCTGGGCTTAGGCTTGGACCTTGAGGAAAAGCTATCAGGAACAAAACTGGAACGTTCACTAAGCTCTTGAAGGTACTTTCTGATACGATTAAGACTGAAAAGAGCAATAAAAACACTGTGTTCTGCAGAAGCACAGGCTGCACCCTTGGCCGTCAATCCTAAGGAAGTTATGGTTGCTCACAAAACAGATTTTTTAAGTGAAATTAAAAGCACTTTCAGATAAAATTTTTATCCAGTTTGACTTCTTAAAATTTATCTTTTTAGTGCTTGGAGACATATTGAATAAACTGTAGTCTCAAACCATGTGACCTGCAATCATTTGCTTTAACCTGATCAGATCTGCTGCGGCCCTTTAACATTGGCTGTATATGAAGTTAGGTATCTAGATTGGGAGTCCCTGTTTTCTGAGTTTCATTATAAGTATAATGCTGAGATTTACCTTGAAATTTTATTTCTCCTCAATGATTAGTACCATAAAGGCAAGGGATAAGAGTGACTTACTCAGAAATCTCTAAGAGTGACTGAACACTCATCCATCCAGTTATACTGCCCAGTGTAGCACCATCGCTCATCAGATTCAGAGGCCCGGGCAGTGGGAAGAAGTGGAAAAAGACCTTTCCTGTGTTGTGTACCTTTTATATGTTGAATTGCTTGGTTTCAGCCTTTTTTTGGCCTTAGATACACTTTCTGCTGTATTTTCCACTCACTATGTGCAGAGCTTGGGAACCTTGGGAAGTGCCAGATTACCAGTGTCAGCCAGAGTTGCCAAGTCAAAGAGGCCCAACCAGCCCCAAAGTGCCTTTCTGGTTGTTTTGCATCTGTGGGGGCACATGACAGAGGTGACAACTTCCCTTCTGTGCACTTAGAATAGCCCTTTCTTCCACTGTCCCCTGCAAAAGTCCACTTGTGGAACTTTTGTGGCGAGCAGCCAGACCCACACCCAGGAGGAGATGGAAGGCCAGCATTGGAGAGAACTGTGCCTCCAAAGCACACAGATGAGTAGCAAATTTGGAATGATTCCAATATTCTTACAATTTTGAATGTGAGGTTCTAAAGTTGATTTTAAATACCTGAACACCCCATGCTCTGCTACACACACATACACACACCCAACACACACACACACACAAACACTTCTCTCCAGACCCATCTTTGCTGAAAGATTGTGTGAGACATGCATTGAAATGTTGGCGATGGTATGTATTGGGATATAATCGCCAGCAACTGCACTCAGGAGCCCAAATTCAGGAGTGAAATTGCCACTTCTAGTCCCTTATTTCCTATGGAAACGATGATGCCCTCCACCCTGTACCTGCCGTCTCTCCTCATGGGAAGCCACATCAGGATCGCTGTCCACTCTACGCTTTGATTCATTGTTATGTTGTTGCTGCAATGAGCATCATTTCTGCTTTACTAGCAACCATCCCATTTCCTGTGGCTGCAGTCAACAAACCTGCTGAGGACTGTTTTTAATGTCTTACCACAAAGTGACAATTGTGACAGGCTTGCCTTGGAAGAGTTGTCATTTTTACTGCCAATTTTTTGGATGACGTTTTTATAATCTTTCACAAAGTCTGCAAATCAAGCAGGAATTGCACAACTTACTCAATGCTGTGTGTTCTCAAGAAGCTCCCTGAGTCCAGGCTGTTCGTGGGACCTGCAGGTACCCTGGGACAGATGAGCAAGCACCCTGTGAGCAGCTTGCCCACAGCTTTCCTGACAGACTGGTGTGGCCACTGACAAAAGTTGAAAGACCTAAAGCAGGAGCCATCAGTCGCATGTGGCTCACCCTTCCCTCCCTGCGGACATGGAGGCCTGTGCAGACCTCTGAGCTTCTGAACCAGCAGACTGGAATTTCCCTCTGCTACCTCTGTGTACAAAGTCTTGTTTATAAAATTCCAAAAGAAAGTAGGTAAACTAGGGAGGAATCTTAATTCTAAGCTTGGGTCATGTGTACAAGAGATCTTAGCTTGTAAGAGCATAAAATAAATTTTCCAAACATGAGTGAGTTAGTCTCACAGACATTTTTCTCCAAATACCACAATAGGAGCATGTGGGGAGCCGGATCACAAGGGTCTGAGGAATGGCCCTAGGTGGCGCTATGCTCCCTTCCCACACTCTGCTCTGACTGGTGGTCAGGGCCACTCTGCAGTAAGGATCTGTGGGTGTCCTGGCCCCTCTGAGATCTTCCTCTACCCAGGACTCCTTTGTAAAGCTCGGGCAAGGATGCCAAACTCAGGCTAATCGTCTATAGACATCCTCCTGGAGCTTTGGCTCTCCCAAGGAGTTCACTACCCAGTAAAAATCATGTCCCCCCATTCCTTGCTCCTGTAAAGTCTTCCTTCTATTCTCATTCCTTGTGTCCTGGGTTGCTCACATGAGTTTCTCCCTGGTGTTATTAAAGATCCTTCCCTACAGTCCAAGACCCTTCCTCATGAATCATGGAAACCAACTGCCAACTCTCTGTAGGAAACTGTTTAAGCACAACCATCAGTCTAGGCTTAGCATCAGTCCTGGGTCTTCAGGGAAAGGGCAAGGGGGGGAGGTGTAGTGGAATTAGAAATACAGATCTGATATTCATTATCATCCCTTAACTAGCGAGCACTCTCACATAGGACACCGAATTGTCAAAAGACAATCCATCACTTTTACATTGGCTGTGTGGAGGTAGACATTGCCTAAACACAGTGACCCTTGCCAACATTAGCTGGGACTTGGGAGGTCCTACACTGAATGGGATAACCATACTTTGTAAAGTGGATAAAGAACAAAATCATTTGCTACATGAATTGTATAGGGAGGCTTAGCAGAACAATGTTCCTCCAAACAGGATGGTACTCACTGCCTAATAATGATTCAAATCCAGCCCAAAATGAGTAGAATGAGTTTTGCTAAGGGTCTTTAAAAGGCAGTAGATACGTGTAGGGGCTGCATTTACACAGCCTCCCTCACACTCTTTACTCAGAGACTCTTTACTCAGAGTCTCCCAAAAGACAGAAACTTTCCTTTAGTCCACCTGGAAAGCTTTTAATTCATATTACTCTAGATCTGGTACAGAAACCTGAATGAGAGTGCCACCTACTGCAGGCTGAAATAGAAGACATCCTGGAAGAGCTAGGTTTATCAGGCTTAGTCCTTGTTCTTCTCTGGGGTCTAGTGGACCTGGCAGCCACCATCTCACCATGGGGCAGGGGGCTTGTGCTGCAGTGTGACACCAAGTGTAACTCCATGGCAGCATGATAGCTGGAAAGCTAGTCACATGCCAGGCTTGGTTTCAAGTCAAGAACTTTGACTCCTTAGAAGCATCTGCAGGTTTGTGAACAGCGGTTCCATGAACATTCTCTGTGTTAGGCCCTGTCCTCTTGACTGGGGCCTGGGATGGGAGCAGAGTTGGGAACTTGGGCTCCGTAGTGGAGCAGATCCTAGGATGTGGGGCTTAGGGTGGCTACATGTCGATATTCAGGGTGCTCCTGTAAGATGAGTATCCAGAGGGAGTTCCTGGTCTCCCTACCAGCCCCAGCTGAGCCAAGCACTCTCCTTCTCACTCAAATAAAAGTACATAATCAACCTTGTTACAAAACCTGCAATAAATATCAAGTCACAGAAGCAAAACAGGTCAGAAAAGGTGCTTTCTGTAATTGTAAGGGCAATAGAGAACTGGTGTGAGGTGGACATCCCTGTAATCCTGGCTATCAGGAAGCTAAGATCCGAGGAACTCAGTTAAGGCCAAAGCAAGAAAGTCTTAGAGATTCTTACCTACAGTGAACTGCTCAAAAAGCTGGAAGTAGAGCTGTGGCTCGAGGAGTAGAGTGCTAGCCTTGACCCAGAAAGGCTCAGGAACATCACTGAGGCCCTGAGTTCAAACCCTAGAACTGACACAAAGGCAACAGAGACCCAGTGGATAGGTGAGTGTTAGTTCATTCTGATATTTATTCACATGTGGGCAGCTGATCCTTACACAGGCCCCCTGCACCCCTCACATGCCCACCCAGCCTCCACAAGTGAGACCACCATGGGGAAGGCCCATGCCTCCAGGGAGAAGCCCTAGAGCAAGTAGGCTCTGACTGCCTTCATACCCTGTTTCCTGCAGAAAAAGGTGCCCAATCTGCCACCCCCCTCTAAATCGCCTCACTTCGCACTGTGTGCCTGGCAGGCCCTCTTCCCTCTGGCTCTCTTTCTTCCATAAAATATGGCTGCCAGTGTACACGGTGTAGGGCCAGAATTCACCACCACCACCCCTGAAGCTCAGCCCTGGTCAGCACCACCCAGCAGGCCGCTCTACAGATGGCCTGAGGGCTGGATCTGGCAGCAGATGGCGGTGACTGTTACTGGTCCTTCCTCACCGGCCCTTTCTGTTTCCTCAGAATCCTGGTGCCTCACCACACACGTGTTGTCCACAGGGAAAGCTCCCAGGGTGACTGAGGTCTCAGGATGGGCACTGCAGCTGGTCAGGGTCCAGCCTGCGTCACAGCTCACGGTGACCTGTCAGAGTCCAGGGAGGACAAGTAAGGCCAGGTCCAGCATGCATGGTCAGGTCTCTAAGCCACCTGCTACACTGTCCCTCCCAGCAACCCTCAGTGGGGACCAAACTGTGAACACCTGGCTTGGTTCTGCTACTCACACCCCAAAGGGGCTGTGTCCAACGCTGCCCACCACTCCCTCAGGGTGCTTCAGCCCCAGCATACCAGGGCACTGCAACCCAGACAGACATCTCAACAAACCAAAGCCCCTCCTACTTCCCACTTCCCTACAAGCCACCCCTCCCACAGCCTTCCCCACCCAGTGATGGCAACTCCATTCCCCCAGCAGCTCCACAAGACCTTGCAACAGCCCTCCACTCCTTGTTGCAGCTCATCCCAGACCAGAGCCACCACCCTCAGGTCCCAAACTCCTCCTACCATGGCCTCTAGAGGCTAGCTCTCCTGCTTCAAAAGTTCAAAGTGTGACCCGCTCTCCCTTTAGGGACCTTTTTCCTTTGACTCTCCATGGTTGCTCAAGTGTTCCAACCCTGAGCAAACTCATGGTAGGCTTGTTAAGTACAGAAGTGTAGCTGTGTGTGTTTGAGCACGCACACGCATGCACAATCATGCATGCCCAACCTGGGGCTTGAACGCAAGAACTGAGCCACAGTTCCACTTCTAGCTTTTTTTGGTCAGTTAATTGGAGGTAAGATTTTGTGGACTTTCCTGCCCAGGGTGGCTTTGAATCCAGTCCTCAGTTCTCAGATTCCTGAATAGCTAGGAATACAATTGTGAGCCTGCTTTGTTTTTTAAGGCAATACTGGGGTTTGAACTCATGAATGCTAAGCCAACACTTGACTACTTTAGTCATATGCCCACGTTCACTTTAGTTATTTTTCAGATAGGATCTCAGTTTTTGATTTTGTTTTGGTTTTGTTTTTTGCCCAGCTGGCCCCAAGCTACATGCAGTTCTCTTACCCATGTGTCCCCCCCCCCCCCCACACACACACACAGAGCCACTATTTCACTTGTACCAACACACCCAGCTTATTTGCTTAGATGGGATTTCTTAACTTTTTGCCCCAGGAAGACTCAAATTGAGATCCTACTTCCTATGAGTAGGAGGTGCAACAGGTACAGCATTACATTACTGTGTCAATCCTCAGCATTGCATTTCTTCTTTTTTTTTTGTCAGTTGTGGGGCCTGAACTCTGGGCCTGGGTACTGTCCCTCAGCTCTTCAGCTCAAAGCTAGCACTCTACCACTTGAGCTACAGCACCACTTCCCATTTTCTGGTGGTTTATTGGAGATAAAGAGTTTCACGGACTTTCTTGCCCCGGCTAGCTTTGAACTACCATCCTCAGATCTCAGCCTCCTGAGTAGCTAAGATTACTTACAGGCGTGAGCCACTGGCGCCCGCTTGCATTTCTTTATACAGTATTTATGTATGTTATCCTTAAAGGGATACAGGGGACCTGGAGAGCCAACCTTGCTAATCTGGACAGAAACAAATCAAGCCCACCACACACAGGAGAATGCTGTACAGGACAGCATAGAAGCTCAGGTTCTCCCCACGGCTTGGACTGCCCCAAGAGGATGCAGGCCCCAGCCATCTCCACCCCACCTCCCACATCCCCAGCCCTTTACCTTCTCCAAGGGATTGAAACGCCTGTACTTCGTTGTGCATAGCAGGCCCGGAGCTTGGCAGCAGGAAGCATGGACACTGGCCTCTTTGTGCCCCGCACACCATCTGGGCTGATTAGGATCTCGTTTCCTTGTAGTATGTGGGTAATCACCAAGATTCTCTATCCCCCAATGGGAGCTGCAGCCTTGGGCAGAGGAGGGACAGCTCACACACTGGGATGCCCAGGACCCTCTAGCTTTGTTCCCTTAACCACACCCCTTTCTCTGTAAGGTTCAAACCAGGAAAGCTCTGGAGCAGCTCTGAGTAGAACAGACTTTGGCTTGAGCAGCAGGACTTCCAGCATAGCTCTGCAGCTGACCTGACTTGTAGGACCTTGGGAGAGCAGCTCAACTGCTCTGAGACATAGGTTCCTGGGAATCACATGGTTTCCTCTCCACCAAAGAAGGGGAGCCCTGGGGCAGAGTTCCCAGGACTAGATGTTCAACTGCTCCTCACCCCAACTCCCTCCTACCTCAGGTCTCTTCCTCATCCAAATCCAGAAGTTGAGCATGAGCCTAGTTCTGTGGGCTTAGGAGTCATGTACACCTGGCTGTAAAATCATGGCCAGTTTGCTGGACTCCATGAATCAAGCCTCCGTTTCCCTGTTGACTCACGATAGCATTGACTCACAGAGTTGGGGCTAGGCTGAAGCAGGAACATGCCTGGGAAGTCTCTGTATTGCCCATGCAGGACCCGGGCTCTGCCACATTAGGGTTATGATAACCAGGACCAGAGCCCTTGTCCCAGCTCTGTGGCTTTCCTAAAGGCACCCAGCAACTTTACCTGCAAATGGAACTTGGCATGGGCTACACAGTGAGTGCCTGTGGCTCTGCCAGCTTTGCCAAAGGCCAGGCTTCCTGCCAGGCCAGCAGCCACATGGAGCTCTTGTTCTGGACAAGGCTCTAGCCACTGGGCTCATCTGACTGCTGCTAATCCTATTCCAGCCATCTTTTAACCCCACCTAACCCTTACTATTCCAGAAACTTCCAGCTCCCAACTTAACTGTCTAAGATAAGCTCCTGAGCTAGTGATTCAAGATAATTTCCACAGTCCCCCCAAAACCTCCCTGACACCAAACTGTATCTGAGCCTGCTCTAGTCTAAGAATCAAAGTCCCTAGCTCCAATGAGGGGCCCTCACCCATGACTTCCAGCCACTCTCCTGGGCAGGTTTGTTATAGAAAGTCTATAGAACAGAGAAAGGACTTCAGAGTGATGGTCGATGGCAGTGGCCACCAGAATGCATACTATTCCAGGCTAATAGCTGAGCATTCATGATGAGGAAACTAAGGCACAGGGCTGAGAAGGAACTTGCCATCTACTGAGTGGCAGTTGGAATCAACCTGAGCTGTGCCCCACTTCTGACAGGCCTGAACCGGGTCTCTACACCACACAGCTGGTAAACAGCTCCCAGTGCTCAAGCTGGAGCCCATCTGCCATCCCTCTCATTGCTGCCACTGAGGAAGGGGAGGTGAACCTACCCAAGGCCACATAGCATGCAAGTTGCAGATGCTGTTTGGCTATGGATCCTGAGGCTCCCAAATCATCTGCTCACACTCATGGGGACCAAGTGTGTGGGACACGTCTCCTGAGCAGCAGGAGATAGGGTGTCCTCCTTTCCCTGGTGGGACCAGCCCCTACCTGTGAGGACTTGGTCAGGATCTGGGCAGTGGGTGTAGGTCTTCAGCCCCACCAAGGATGAAGGAGTTGTGTGGATGCTGCAGTTGGCTCGGGGGAGCAGGCAGCATCTGGCCACCGCAGAAACCTGGCTATCTCCAAATGCCAGGCAAATGCGTCTGTTCCCTAGGAACTGAGAATCCAAGAGAGAAATGGGAGCCTGTTGTGAAGAGGTTTGGGGCCTGGGGAACCCTGAGGGACACCATCTGCAAGTTCTGGTTCCTGAGCCTTCAGCACTGCTTGGCACCAGGCAGGCTGTTCTGCCTAGCCTTACTTGGAACCATGATCTCCAGATCTCTCCAAAGTAGTTACCATAATAGTCACCTAACTTGGTCATGTCTTAAGGCAAGGCAGAAAGCCTAACTCACCACTCTCCTTTCCCTCCTGTGCTCATGTGGGTTTTGTCTATGCTGAGACCCCCCCTCTACCCCCTCCTCCCCCCCAGGGGGATCTGGCCCTGCCAGGGCCCTTAAAATTTAGATAAGGATTGGAATCCAGAGGACAGAGGACTGGGCATACAGAGTGTGCAGCTCACCCTCACATGCTCGCCCTGCCGCTTCCCACTCTGGGAGAAACTGGAGCAGCCCAGCAGCTCCTCCTCCGGGTCACAGTGAGCCTCAGCAGCGTGTGTCAGCCTGGGGCTCCAGGATGCTGACCACACAGTCCTGCAGAACAGCTGTCCACCTGCAACAAGACCATGATAAGGAGTCTCTTGGGGAGCACCAGGAGACTCCAGAGAAAGCTTCAGTCCAAGGTGAGGGAGAGGAGCTAAGATACCACATGAAACTTTTAGGTAAAACTTCAGTGTTGTAACAATACTCCCATTCCCCCAGTCCTATCTGAGGAGGACAGTCCTTCTGTAGACCAGGTAGGGGACTGTCACCTCCACACGGGCCTCTCACAGCCAGGCTGGTCTCTGCCTACCCACCTGCCCTGCTCACCTGTTTCCTGGGTGTGGGGGGGCAGTGCAGCCAACAGGTTGGGGGTCTTGAATCGCTCCTCCTCCGGGAACCAGGTGTCATTGATAGTATTGCTGATAGAGTAGTAGATCAGCCTCTGCCTCAGCTCAGCCACAGTGAGGTTTGGCTGGGCAGTGAGCATCAGGGCTGCAATGCCTGATGGGGAAGGGAGAGGTCAGACAAGGTGATGGGCTGGCCTTCCATCCTAGCTGGGAACTCCTTTTAGGACACAAATGCTCACACATGCACACATGATGTGATCTTCCCAAAATGAAGCCACCTGCAATCCCTTGCTTACTGAAAGCTAGAAAGTAACACATCTTGTTCTACCTCCAGGCCTTGGTATTGGCCATTGTGTTCACCAGGTGAACACCTGTTTATCCTCCAAAACCCTGTGATGTAAAATGCACCGTCACTACTAGGTCTGCCCATTTGGTCCTCCTGCTCATAGCCAGGCATATGGAGGATCTGGGCAAAGAGGCCACTGGAATCCTAGTGGTCTGGAGAGTAGTATAGTGACTCACCAGCCACATGGGCAGCCGCCTGCGAAGTTCCACTGTGAGTTACATAGCAAACATTGCAGTCTTTGGAGGCACTGACAATGCGTTTCCCAGGAGCAAAGATGTCCACACAGGATCCATAGTTGGTCCCCAGAGGACCCTGGATGAGTGGCTGGTCCTGGGAATTGATAGCTCCAACAGTGATGACCTGGAATGTGGCAGACAAAGAGCTGAGGGAAAAGCTGCAAGGGCAGACTGATAACTCCTATACTACCTGTTTGAGCCCCATGTAAATGTCTCCTCCTGAGGAAAATCTGGCACCTGAATACAGCTGATACCCTAGCCTGTCCCAGGACTGTCACAGGATGCATACACTACTCCCCATGCCCCATGGAGATTGTACTAAATGGGGAGACAAATTTTAGTGTGGTTATCACTCTGCTGTGGGGCAACACACAAGAGCAAGGCTGGTACCGGTGGTGTTAGGTTGAGCATTTCTGGGAGCCCCTGTTGACCCAGAGGTTGAGTGTGGGGAGTAAGGGGAGGTGGCAGGGGAACAGCCGGGCCGATTTGCCTCTGCACCTTCCCCCATCAGGACCCAGGAGTTCTGGAAATGAGACGGGCATCCTCCCCTTGGTACTTCTGGGCCCAGACAAGCCCATACAAAGCAGTGGCTCTTCAAAAGTCAATCAGGACTGGAGGCAAGGCACAGATGGAGGATTTGATGGGTGGGGGTAATGTGGGGGTATGTTTTGAAGGTGGGACAGGATTAGCCCCAGCCCTTGTCACACTGGGGGTGGAGGCTGGGCCTCTGACAACCTGCAAGGCAGGACATGAGCAGGAAGCCCTGCTGGCACCTACCTCAGGAGATGACGCTGGAGAGTAGGCACAGGCATCTCTCTGAAAGTTGCCCGCAGCGGCCACCAGCACTACTCCAGCCCTCGCCAGGACCTTGCAGGCATTGTTGATGCTCTGGCTGTACCCACTCACCAGGGGCAGCAGCACTACCATGCGCTTGGAGGGATTGGAGACCAGCTCTTTCCAAATAAACTCCAAGCCTGAGAGAACAGAGATGACTGAGAACGAGATGACTGCCCGGAGAGGAACACACTACCTTCCCCCAGCCTCTTCCCTCCAAAATAGTAGTGATGCTCATTATTGTCAACTTGATGACCCAATGATGGGTGAAATGCATCTGGCCAAAGTGGCTGCTGGGGTCTGCCACTCACCCATGAGGATGCCGCTGACGGTGCCCTTCCCTTTACAGTTGAGCACACGCAGGCTGTGTATGTTGGTGTCCTTGGCCACGCCAACACTCTGGCCATTGACCAGGGCTGCCAGGTGGGTGCCATGGCCTTCACAATTGCCCTCCTGCTCCACGAACACAAGGACCAGATGAGAAAGCCACCCGCCCCATGATTTCCCAACAGACCCTGGATGGACTACAATGCCCACCCTTCCTCACCTACAGCTATGGACTGGAAATGGATGGTGATGGCTGGAGAGGGTGGCCATGGTGCTCCAGGTCTGGTGGTCCTTACCTTCCTCCAGGATGGGGCTGGGGAAGGGTGGCTCACCTGAGTCCTGGGCGCATGGGTGCTCAGCCACACCTCCTCAGGCACTCTCTCAAAGTTAGAGATGATGATCCTGCCCTTGATTTCCCGGTGATTAGTCTGGATGCTAGTGTCCAAGAGATACACCTCCACAGGGTCGTCCTGGTCTTCCCATGGTAACATTTGTGTTAGAGGAGAAAGTGGAGAACCGGGAGGGTGAGGTTATGTAGTTCACGTATATCAATGATGGCATGCTCTGCTTACTAATTGTGGGCACTGTTTCAAGGACTGTAGATGAACTCATTCTTCTAAAAGTCCTCCCAAGCTACCTGCTAGTGGGACTATGTTACTGACCAGGCCAGTGAGACATAGAAATGGGGAGCTGTCCTAAGCCATGTGGCTGGCCAATGAGATTGAACCAGGAAACTCCCTAATAGCATGCTGCCTGTTACTGGGTCTTGTTATCAACTCAAATGGCCTAGCTCTACCTTGAGCTCTGTCATTGGCTGGGAGCAGCCCAGGAAGCAGGGCCTCAGTGACCTGCTCCTACTACTGGTTCTCCTGAGGCAGGATTACAGCAGCACAAGCTCTATAGTTGCTCTTGTGACCAACTCAAACTGTTGTTCTGGAAACCAGAAATTCAAAATCAAGAGATCAGTCATGCTACACTCCCTCTGAAGGTTCTGGATAAGAAGCCTCACTGGCCTTATCTTCCTTCTTATGGTCTGTGGCCACCTCCAACTTCTGCCTGTTTCCTCCCATTTCCCGTTCTTACAAGGTTTGTGTTTCAGGATGAACAACAGGGCCTCTCTCTGAATGGGACAGCACAAGGCCTGGCCAGCCTGCTTTATCCCCGTCTGTATGGTACCTGCTTTACCCTGTCCCAGTCCAACAGCTCCTAAAGGGTCTCTTCCAGCCAAGCCCTTAAGAAGGCTACAAGAGGCTCCCTAGCCCTCTCCCCCACTAATCCAGGGAAAGAGGAGGCCATCTTGGGCATCCCCAGGAGCCAGGATGGGAACCGTGTCTACTTTGAACCTGCAGGAGAGCTAGTCACCAGTGACCCAAGAAAAAGACATGCTGTATCCTTTTAGACCTATCTTGAGGCTACAGGTATGGTGCAAGTGGTAACCTAACAAACATGAAGCCTTAGATTCAAATTCCAGTACCACCACCATACCTTATCTGGAAAAGAGGTCTTTCAAGGGAGAGCTCACCCAGGATGAACCAGTGGTACTAAATCCAGTGCAGTGTGGCCTCACACAAGAATGAAAAGGAAGGCTGGGCACAGTGTCTCCTATCTGTAATCCCTGCTATTTGTGAGTCAGAGAATGGGTAGATCAAAGCCAGCCCAGGCAAAACATTCACAAGACCACATCTCAACTGACAGGTCGGCGCAGTAGCACAAGCCTGTCATCCAAGCTACTCAGCAACCATAACAAGGAGGATTGTGGTCCAGGTTCTGGAGTCAGTTTGACAACTTACCTTAAAAAAAAGAAGAAGAATGTATAAATGTCTCAAGTGGTAAAGGGCCTGCTTAGCAAGTATGAGGCCCTCAGTGCAAAGCCAAAGACTGTGAGGGAGAAAACAAAAGAATGACATTTTGTACCAGTAGCTCATGCCTATAATTCTAGCTACTCAGAAAGGAGTATCAACAGTTTGCAGCTGACCTGGGCAGCGAAGTCCTCTAAATTCCATCTCCAATTAACTAGTAAAAAGGCAAGAGATCTGGCTTAAGTGGCAGTGTGCCAGGGTGAACGAGTAAGCTCATGGGAAGTCCCAAATTTAAGCCATAATATCACCAATAAAATGAGTACACAAAGAGAAAGATAGATGGAAAGAAAGAATGGTGAGAGGAGAAAGCAAGAAACCACACAATGATGGGAAGCTGGGGCCGAGGCAAAATGACAGCCCGCCACCATCACCCACCTTCCAGTCCTGAAGACACTGCCTCTGCTTCATCTCCTTGAGCCTCTAAACACTCAGTGAGGAGGTTAGTGCTGATCACAGCCCTGAGATCCATGGATAAGGAGAAGGCGTTGGGCTCACCCCCAGACCTGAGGCCCAGCACCAAACCAAACCCAGATCTGCAGAGGCTCGTCCAACACTACAGAGTCTAGCCAGACTTCTGATCCTCTCCCAAGCAGCTGCCTTCCCCAGCTCCCTGTCACTGTGACAGCCGCCCAGACACAGCCATTTTCCCAGCCTCCTCCTCTTCCTCCCTCTGCACAGGCAGAGGGAAATGGGGCAGAGAAGCTTGGAGGCCAGGGAGACAGAGACCTAGATGGGGGAAGCTCTGTTTTGAGGACTGAGAGTTACAGAGACCAGAGACTGTAGTCACAGTCAAGTCCAGCCTCCTCCTCTGGCAAGAGTGGCCTGCTGCAGAGATGAGAAAAGGAATTATGAAGGTGGTTATTCAGGCACCAGTGGTTCAGGCCTATAATCCTAGCTACTCAGCTGAGATCTGAGGGTGGCAGTGCAAAGCCCAGCCTGGGCAGGAAAGTCTATGAGATTCTTATTCCCAATTAGCCAGGAAAAATCTAGAAGTAGAGCTTTGTCTCTAGTGGTAGAGTAAAAAAGCTAAGGTATAGCACCCATATCTTGAGTTCAAGGCCCTGATTAAAAAAATTTAAAAAGCTGGGCACCGGTGGCTCATGCCTATAATCCTAGCTACTCAAGAGGCTGAGATCTGAGGATAACGATTCAAAGCCAGCCTGGACAGGAAAAGCTGTGAGACTCTTATCTCCAATAAACCACCAGAAAACAGAAGTGGCGCTGTTGCTCAAGTGGTAGATTGCTAGCCTTGAGCTGAAGAGCTGAGGGACAGCACTCAGGCTCAGAATTCAAGCCCTATGACTAACAACCACTGCCAACAACAACAACAAAATTAAAAAGGTAGAAGAGAGGACCTTAGGCAAATGTCCCTGCATTGTGCACAGAGCACCAGGAGGGGTTGCTGTCCAGAGCGGGCAGAGGAGAGGACAGAGTGAAGATGGGTGGGTGTGGTTCCATTATAGGAAGATGGCGGCCATGACAGCTGCGGTCTTACTGTGGTGGTTCAAGCTATACAACTGGATCCACTCAGGAGAAATCCGACGCATGTTCCACAGGACATTGTGATAATAGTTCCACTGAGGGGAAATCACGTTCCGTCCCCACATGACGCTCTGCCCAAAGGCGAAGGAGTCCTCCTCGATGTATGTAACCTCCCTCAGCCTCAGGACCTGAGGATGCCAAGGACACAGAGTCTCAATTTTATAAGTCACTTAGCCAGCAGTACCTAGCCCTCACCCCATGGGATCACATGAGTACCCCTGAGCCTGGCTCACTGTGTCCCACAGCCCCCTCCCATGGACCAGAGAACAAAGCCAGGGTCCTCACTCCTGGGCTTGGAGGAGGTAGTGGGGAGAGCTGGGACCAGTGTTCCCACAACTGGTAGCTGAGCCCACGTGAGTGGCAGGAGGGATTCAGCTTCCACATCCCATCTGGGAGCCAGGCACTGCCAGTTCTAGGTAGGTTGGACAGTGGGGGAAGTCCCTTGGGCCTGGACTCCATGCTTAGGATGTCAGCAGTAGTCATCCTGTATGTCCACTCCCTTCCTGCATCTTTTCTGTCCTCAGACCACAATGCCAGGCCCCCTGGTAGTGGCTTCCGGGTGCTTAGCCAATGGAGGGAGGGGCCCAGCAGGAATTGAGGGTAATGTGTGTGGGCTCAGCCCTCTCCCTGTCCTGAAGCATACCCCACTCTCTCACCTTTGCTGTGGACCCAGGCTGCAATGCACCAGTACAAGGACACTGGCCAGCTGGGCCAGCAGCTGGGATCCCAGCTCCCCCGTGTGGGGCTGTGTGGTCCCTCTGCACTGGGATCCCTCCTGCTTCAAATGAGGGTGAATGGGCAAAGTACCATAGGGGAATTGGCCAGGCTAATAAGGAAGCTGCCTGAGGAGGCTGGCATCACTGGCATCACTGACTGAGCTAGAGACCCTCAGTACTCAGTAAGTGTCTGCTGTCCCCTGAGTATCCGCCAGGGGGCATGCACAGGCCTCTCCCCAGCCTGAAGAAATGCATGCCTGAGCCGGGTCTCACCATATCCAGTGCACCCATGTTGTCCAGCTTCATCAGGGCGCCAGGAAAGAGGTCTTTGAAGATGTGCAACACTTTGAACATGAAGCCCTGGCTGGAAGCCTGGCTCTTCAGGCGTTGGATAATACTCTCCATCTGCTGCATTGGGAATTCCTTAAACACCACCAGGTAGGTGTTGGGCACCTTCCAGGAGCTCTAGCCCCAAGGGAGGAAAAGGAGCATGAGAGCATAGAAAGAAAGACCCCATCCCTGTCTACAGATCAACTTAGAGCCGAAGAGACCCAGGACATAAAGAGACTACAGATACCAGCTGACTCAGTAAGGCTTAAACCTCTCCACAACACACACAAAGCCCCACTGACATCACCCACAACAGATCCACACGGTTCCAAACATGGCATCCATCCCCTAGGGGAACTGTGGGTGACCCTCAGCACTCATGTGAGCGCACAGCAAGCTGGCTCCACCCTGGCCACTTCCACGACCTCCTGCCTCTAGGTACAGCCGGGCACCGCCTGAGCCCCTGCAGCTCCAGCTGTCCCAGCTCCCCACCAGGTGCACCAAGCCGGTGGCCGAATGAACAGAAGGATCTCCGGGATCTTCACTTCAGATCTTTCCTTCCACTGGAGAAACTGAGACCAGAGAAGGAGAAGAAATGGCATCCACACAAGCCCTCCCCCCCACCTTCCACCCTCACCTCAGAACTCCGATATATGATGGGTGTGGACCTGTGCTGAAACTCCGACCCCTCTGGCAGCTCTTGGGCTTCGGCCCGTGAGGGGCTCAGCAGCAGCAGCAGCAGCAGCAGCAGCAGGGGTGGCAATGGCCACTGTGACCACCCAGAGCCGTTTGTGCCCATGGAGTGGGAGGAAAGGTTTGTGCCCTGGCGCTGACACCCAGAGCCAGGACCTGTGAGGACCAAGCATATGGCCACGCAGGGCAGCTGGGCTGTCTGACTCACTGTGTGGCACCCGCCTGCAGCCCAGCATCTCCAAGTCGGGTGAAACCTAGGCTGCATAATGCTGTATACCTGGAACCCAGGACGGTCCCATCTGATTAAATACTAATGGAGCCCACCCCCTTCCTCACACACCCACAGGCCTG